ATAGTTTGTGAGCTTGAGCCTCACATAAGGCTCTGCGCTGACAGTGTGGAACCTGCTTGGGATTCTCTCTCTCCCTCTGTGCCCCTCCCTTGATCTCTCTTTCTCTCTCTCAAAATAAATAAATGAAATAAACTTAAAAAAAAAAAAAAGTAATTTAGTCCTAAGTTCTTCAGTATGTGGATTCCTGGGTCCCATCCTAGACTTTCTGGACGTGAGACATGAGAATTTTCATTTAGGGGATGCCTAAAAGGTGTTTCTTTAAAAAGAAAAAAAAAATTTTTTAACATTTATTTATTATTGAGAGACAGACACAGAGCCTGAGCAGGGGAGGGGCAGAGAGAGGGGGAGACACAGAATCTGAAGCAGGCTCCGGGCTCTGAGGTGTCAGCACAGAGCCCAACGCAGGGCTTGAACTCACAAACTGTGAGATCATGACCTGAGCCGAAGTCGAATGCCCAACCGACCGAACCACCCAGGCACCCCAAAGGTGTTTCTTATTTTTTCTACGGGTATGAAAACTGCTGATCTGTTACTCTCTTTGTTTTCTTTTTCACACCATTTTATAAACTATGAAATTTCTAACTAGAAAAGTGGGGAGAATAGTACAATGAACACCTATATGTTCCTTTTACCCAGATTCCCTTAGTATTTTATCGTATTTGCTTTCCTTCTCTTTTTTTTTTTTTTTTTAATTCTGAATCATTTGAAAGTAAGTGCAAAGATCATGATGTTTTTATCCCTGAATACTTTGGCACACATCTGCCAAGGTCTGGTATTCTCCTGACCGGCCACAATGCCATTATCATAGCTAAGAAAATGAACAGTTCTCTAGCACTGTCCAGTATTTAGTGCATACTGAAATTTCCCCAGCTGTTCTTAAAAACTGCTAGAAAAGGGGGCGCCTGGGTGGCTCAGTCGGTTGAGTCTACGACTTCGGCTCAGGTCATGATCTCACGGTCTGTGGGTTCGAGTCCCGCGTCGGGCTCTGTGCTGACAGCTCAGAGCCCGGAGCCTGCTTTGGCTTCTGTGTCTCCCTCTCTCTCTGACCCTCCCCCGTTCATGGTCTGTCTCTCTCTGTCTCAAAAATAAATAAACATTAAAAAAAAATTTTTTTTAAACTGCTAGAAAAGAGTCGCTAAAATGCTAAAAGCATTTTTCCCCCTTCAATTTAAGACCCAGGCAGTATTGACAGGTGGCATTTGATTGTTTTGCCTCTTTAGTCGGCCTTCTGAAGCTCTGCGTCTTGTGGCACGGACTTTCCTTTCAAGAGGCCAGTGCCTCTTACAGAAAGTCCCACACGTGTATTTATCCAGTGTTTCCTCACGATTGGATGTAGGTTCTAGATTTTTGGCCAGCTGTGTAGGTGATTGTTATCAGTAGGCACGTGGTGAGGTCATCCTTTTCTTGGCGATGCCAGGTTTAGTCACTTGTTGACTGTGGTGACCATCCCACCAAGTTTTTCCATGAGGTGATGATTTGAGTCTGTGTGAACTTGCAGCTCCTTCTGCCCATGATGGTCCTTGCCGGATTCATTTGCAACATTGTATATGGCAACATGGCAATTCTCTTATTCTTTCCTCTCTGCTACATTTTTACAGCTGGAATCCTTCTGTAAAGAAGGAGCTTTCTCAGGGCGCCTGGGTGGTTCAGTCAGCTGAGCATCCTAACTTCGGCTGGGGTCATGATCTCACGGTTACTGAGTTTGAGCCCTGCTATGCTGACAGCTCAGAGC